TCTGTACACAGTTCGTACACGGCAGAACCTCACTCGCGCACACACGCACACACACTCGCACACACATATGCACGCGTGTGCATACGAGAATACGTGTAAACGATACGCGATATATAGGCTCGATGTAGCACGTACAGCTATATATGAAGTCATTAGCGCCGGCTGTAAGCAAAGAGAGTCGAGCATAATAACATTACAAGTAGCCCCGCCGTATCGATCATATTAGCCAAAGCTCGCGATCGATATCGCAAATATATCACGAAGGAATCTAGTTGGGATCGATGCAGAGCGAGCTTAACAACGCTATTTTTTTTTTTATAAAATGCAACATACATCATAAGACGATGAGCCTCTATCATTTCATGCTATAAGATGTCATATGTATAAACAAGCCGTAGACCGAGGCGCTCGGCCGACATATCGGTAGCAATGGCACGTCGAGAGAGAAAAGTTGTATCTCGTGCGATGTTTGGTATGTGCGCGAGAAATGCGTAAACCGCACATACCATAACAGCAGCAGCAGCAACAGCAGCAACAGCATCTACAGATCGGTAGCAGTAGGTGCCCCGGTGTACGCGTATGCGTTGACCGGTCGCGGAGATGCATCTCGAATTACTTATACTCGCTTCGCACTTGTTCTGTTTTGATCGGATATCCCGCGAGCGCTCCGATACACGTATACCTTCGTAATATACGAAAAGCAAAACAGCAGCAGCAACAAGAGTGTACAACCGAACGCAGCTTAGCTCGGGCTTGTGCACCGATTTCCGATCGATCGCTCGCGTCGGTCGAGTCGTCGGCGTACGTAGTAATCATCGTTCGGTTGCTAGCCACTGGGCGGGGTAATGGGCGATCGCGCGCGCGGGGCAGCGCCCACGCCGATTTCAGCTTCTTTTTATACGATACGCTATACTCGACCGACGCGAGCCATGCAAATCATACCCGTCTGCGGTGCGTTGTGCTGGAGCTTCGAGCGAACCATCGAACTATTCCTATATATATACATAAGAGCATAGCAGCAGCAACGGGGTAATACAGCCTCCGGCCAGTCGCGACTCGTTCGCTCGTATTCTCCTCTCTCCGCGAGCGATATGTGCCCATTAGCGATGCGCTGCCGACGGATCGTCCGAGCGTACGAGCTAGTGCGCTTCCCATGCATAACGTCGGATCCTCTAATTTTCAAATCGTTCCCTCTTCTTTTGCTGCTTTTCATGTTTGCGGCCGACGATCGTTGCGAAGCTCGAGACTGGATTACAACCGATCGGCTTTATTACGCATGAAAAAAACAACGCAACACGACCAAGTCCAAAAGTCGAGAGCGCTATCATTATTATGCACCCGATCGAATCGCGGGCAAATCGCTGGACTAGCTTTCATTCGAACGAGCGGACGATCGTTGCGAGGTAATATCGCACGGACGATACGATCATCGAATCGAGGCTCGTTGCGTGAATGAATTCAAATGTATTTATGACGATTCGCATACCAGCTGCACGCGTATATAATACGAGCACGTTGTAAGCTCGGCAAGGATGACAAACTATCCAAGAATGACGCGGCGCGCGAGCTGCATCATTTATGATTTTACGCCAAGTCCCGCTGCTCGACTTGTCTGTAGCTCCGTGCGTGTCGGTCTCTGTGTGTGCATGTGTATAGGCACGACTCGCGATCGTCGTATACGTAGCAGTGTCAGCGGGTCATTTGCGTGCACGTAAAGGCCTCCTCGGCAGTTGCGAAGAGACTATACATACAAAGTGTGTAGGTATAGCAGCGGCTATGCACACGCACCGCACACGCACGCGTGTATATTGGAGCTCGTCACGCTTCATTCGCCTATACATAACTTATGCATGATATTGCGATCCCTCACGACTCATCCTCGCGTCGCGCCGAGCACGCCAAGAATCGCGCGGCAAACAGCCAACAAAGGATTAAAGCAAACAAATCAAAACACGACTTGGGACGATCGACGTCGTCCATCTGGATAAACAGAAGCGCGTACGTAATCGGAGATAGTGGCCGCAGCGCATTCGAGAGAGCGACCGCAAGTGACACTTTTTTCTCGCGGCCTTTTCTTCGCTTCCCGCGTTACGCACGCGCGAGTATGATAATTTGCTTCGCGAACAACCAAGTGTTTAAAAAATACTGCATGGAACATTTTGGACGAGCAGATTGGCAGATATACATGAGACAGATTTCGTGGAGCGATTTTCTCAATTACGTTTTATGAAACTATTATAAAAGTTACAACAGAAAACAAACTTATAATGAATGTAAAATGGGTTTCATAACAAAATTAGTGTCGCGCTATCTAATTTTCTCACTTGTGCGGTATTAAAATCAAATGACAGAAAGGTAAATAGGCTTAAAAAAAATTAGCAAAAAAAAGTATGATTACAAATTTACAAAAAGATCTGGCGCAAGAAAAATAGTTTCTCTGTGTTAGGAAAACATCATTATCGCCAATTCCTGTTCTTGAGACAGGGCTATTTGTATGTCTCGACAAAATAGTTGCAAATTACTAAGATAAATGAAAAGTAAAAAATTTATAAACCGAATAAAAAAGAATGACTTGAATAAAAATAGTGAATAATAGATTTCCTTGCGAAAACTGAACATTTTACGTGTAATAATTTGTTTTTAAAAGTATAACATCGAAAAATTGACCTTCAAAGAAGTCACCATGAAACGGTCTAATGCACTATAAAGTTACGATTCGCGTCACAAGGGCGTGGCTTACTTCGTCAGATTATTTGAGCTCTGGAGCATCAAATAGCTTATGACTAAACTGTGCGTACAATAAAAATTTTGTGAGCTTTCGAAAAAAAAAATCAAACGACATTTCTGTCGATTTTGATTACATAAAATGCAATTGTTGACGTTGAATACACATCGTCATTTTTACACTGAAATTGTCACTGCATTTGTGCGCAAAATGGATTCAGGATTTTCGTTAACGATAATAGTTGGTGTGCGACGACGAAATGAAGAGCAAAGAAGATAAAACAATGAAAAAAAGAGAGTGAAAGAGAGAGAGAGAGCGAGAGAAGGAAAGATATCGGCTGAAAGCGAGGCAAAGCAAAAACAGCAGCAGCAGCAGCAGCAGCAGCAGCAGCAGCAGATAAGTCGCAAAGTATAATCAGACGCAGGGCCTATACGCCGAGGCAGCTCTGCTATAATAACAGTAATATCACTGTCCCTCCTGCAACTTCTACTGCAATTTGGAACTCTTGTTCGTCTTCGCGGCTGTTTTCGCTCTTACTCTCTTTCTCGTCTCTCTCGTTCACCTCGAAAAAGAGTCGAAATTACAGAATACACATGTATGCTGTGTACGCGATCTCTGCTATATCTGCGCTGAATGCGTGTGTGTACGTATAAAGACCTGCTCGCCTCGTTGGACTTTGATGCGGACTCGATACACCTCGTTCGAGCTCCCATTCTCATGCTGCATCATCGTTGCTTCCGAGAGAAAGAAAAGATTTGGGTGTTGCGATCGAGGCAGGCTCTACATGTGTAGCTATACGTAGCCGAGCATCTAATATCGGGTTCGCGGGGCGAGGCTCTCTCACGGCTCTCTCTCTCTCTCTCTAACTGCGGCAAGTGGATGTGCATATAAGTATATACCTGCCTATGTATATGCTGGCGCGGCGGTCCTTACTGACTCGGTAGCGCCTCGACTCGTACACACACACACATTGGCAAACTGTGCAGCTACATGAGCCCCGCACGGATTATTGATTTAACAATCTCAAGGTTTCTTCGCTGCCGCCGTTGCTGCTGCTGCTGCTATACACTTACTCGACGCTCAGAAATACCCTCCGCGCCGTCGCGCATATACCTCGTTGTCTAGCCGTGTGTGTGTGTGTGCTATGTGCCTAACGTGCACCACCCCTGCCTGCGTCTTCCTTCGTTCTTTCCTCCCTGCGCAATCCCTACCGCACATGCCTTGCCCCGCAGTATATATTGCAGCGTCTAGATGTAGACCTATACCGCACACAAACACAAACTCACACTCGCACGAACTCGAGACTTGGCCATTGTGCGCCCTGTACGACTATTGCGCATGTATACATTTCAACCTATATGCAGATGCGTATGCGGCCACACTAGTCTACGCCAAATCCCTCGTGTGTTATAATATGTACTCGATTGCGAAAGACCTTTTTTACTTTCTTAGGGCTTATGTAAAACAATAACCGACTTGACTTGTCGTTGATTATACGTCTGCTCGCTTTCACATTGAAAAAGACGAACTTTGAGGCACATCGATTTTCCAAATAAAAGTATTGATTACTGATGCAATCCGAAATCACATTTTTTACTATCGCACTGAACGAAATCTGTTTTTACATCTCACTGAATTCAATTTTTATTTAATCAATCAATGTGTAATCAATATTAACCATCATACAAAAGTCATTGCGTGATTTGTTTTCAAGATAAATAATATTAAAGATAAACGAAATATATCTTTTGTCCAAAATTTTTAATGCCTTTAGAACAATTTAGAACAAAAGAAAATTCTATGCATCATTAATTATACCCATTCAAATTAATTTGGAATATTATTTTAATTCTCTTTTCCATTAAAGACAAATTACACATAAAACCCCGAGTTTGTTTGGAGGAATTTCAAGTTAGAAAAAATCACTTGTACGGGAAATCCAGCGGATACAATTTAGCGCATCAAAACTAAGGGGCTGTAAAATGTACATGCGTATAGACACGTCAAAGAGTTCAATTACGACCCTCAAATTTCATAGAAATGACTCGATCATACAGATTGATTGGCCTTGTAGAAAAGAATTACAATGGATAATCAAGTTGGATAAGAGAGCTGATCGCATAATACGTAAAGAGAAAGGGGTAGTTGCAGATTATTCAGCACACGCAGTAGGCGAAAAAGATGACGCGGTCAGCGGACGAGCTCAAACACCACTGCAGTTACAGCTTAGCATAAAAAATTGGCACTTTGCTCATAGGAAAAGAAACGTACGAACCTTTTGCCGTTGCGTCTGCGTCTCTTGGTGGCGTAGACGGTGCCGAGCTGGCTCATGGCCATGGGATTATTGGGACTGACAGCGGTGGCAGCGGCCGTGGCGACGGCGGCCGCCGGCGCCGAAGTCGGCGTCATCGTGGCCGGGCTCTGCTCAACAATCGACGAGGAGGCGGCGAGTGCGACGGCTCCCCCGGGTGCGCCGCTCAGCGCTTGGAGGGCCAGAGACTGCTGGTGCTGGGGGTAACATTGCTGATGTTGTTGTAGCTGTTGTTGATGCTGAGGGTGAGGGTGATGGTGCTGCTGGTGGAGATGGTGATGCGCGCTGGCGAGCCCCAGTGCCGGGCCAGCTCCAGGCCGCTCCAGCGCGTACACCGCTGCCGCAGCCGCTGCCTCGATAATCCTGCCGCTGCCGAGCAGGCAAGACGACGGCGAAAACTGCGGATAACTGGTGCCAAATTGCTGCTGCTGAGGCCCGCTAGGCGCTGCGAGGCCGCCCGACGATATCGCTGCGATCGCCACTGTTCCCGCGCACTGACAACGACCAGGACGATAGGGCTGGACGAGCCATCAAGGCAGTTCTCCTGCCGACCTGGCGACGACGCGACACGGCCACGATTCGGCGATTCAAAGACGACGACCGAGGAAGAGAGAGAAAAACACCCGAGCCTGTCTCAGCCCGGCTACCCCCCGAGCATCCGTCTCCAATGCTTCGACGCGGCACTGATGCAGCCACGATTTGCTCTTGCACAACAAGTAACAACAAAAACAACAACAACCACAACAACAACAACAACTTGAACAAAAAACTCAAACAAACAACTTGTAGGAAAACAAAGGAGCACAGATCGACGACGAGATTGGCAGTTCAGCGGGTCCTTTTTTGTTAGGCACACTTTGCATAGAGGCGCGAAAGCTCGCTTGTTTTGCAGGGGCCCTTCGAGGCGGCTCGATCTATACGTCGATCGGCAACGTGGCTGCGATGGGCTCGCTCGCGGGCAAGGCTCGTGTAGCACTGGCTGTCCTATTATAGCCCGTGTAGTACCGGAGCTCCTGCGGTGCAGTGCGCGGCGCTCTCGGCCGAGCCCCCCCTGCGCCCCGCCAACAGCACACACACAAACACGGAGTCGCACACGGACGAGGCGCGCTAAAAAAGCCGAGCCGAGTTGCTGAGGCCGCCACTGGCGCTGACGCCGCCACCACCACCGCCGCCGTTCGCTTGTTGCTGCAACGCAGAGTCGACTTTCGGAGCGCTGATACACAACGGTAGGAGTCTGGTAAGGAGGAGGGAAAGGGGGGGAGTATCGCGGCGACCGAGCGACCGCCCATGACTCGCAGCGACGACCAATAGAGCGAGCGGTATGGCGCCCAACGCGCCGACTGCCTGGCGATGCGCGCGCCCACTGTCCACCTGCAGCGTATACATATAGCCTGGCTACGTCTTTGCGTCTCGAACTCTGTTTCGAGTATCGCGAGTTGTTGAGCCTTGTGAACGCGAGGGGATGATTTTCGACAATTTTCGTATTCAAACAAGGACCCTCGAGAACTCGGACTACGATTCCGACGCGCAAGCTTTCGGGAGGACTGCCAACCAGAAGAATAGCAACGATCCAGCAAGTTGCAGCTTGAATTGAACTATATGCTTGTACCTATATAGGTATACAGCGGCTATCGGAGACAAGTGCAACACGCGACCTGTTGTGCCTCGCGAGTCACTGCCATATGCACACACATTATGGCCTTGTTTGTCAGTGTGCAGCCGGGTACAGGCCTCGAGTATAACATTTAGCACTTCCTCTTCTGCAGTTCATGGAGCTTTCGTTGCTTTATGGCTGCGGCTGCTGTTACTCAGCGATGAATTTATCAACTGTAACGAAGATATCGCGATATATACGTGCGAGATTGGATGCTCAACCGCGACTTGGCTGCGTAGCTATAAATCTTCCTATACGCTCACATCTTGTGTTGCTATTTGATTTCTTTAGACTTCTAATCTTGTATACGCTTTATTAGTTGTAAACATGAATGATGATCGTGCAAATTACCCTGCGAAAAATAGTAAAGTAATTTTTACTACGTACAAAATAGTAAAATTTGCTACAAAACAGTAATTTTTATGATAATTTTTTAGTATATCCCACGCTTACTATGAACAATAGTAATTTTCTTTCAAGGTAATATACAGTATGTTGCCCAATTAAACAAGAGCTTAAAATTTAGCTCACTAAAATGACTGCAAGAGACAAATTTTATTCAAATAACTGGATAAAGATTTGATTTTTCGGAATAATCATTTATAGTTATCAGAGAATTCCGAATGCTTCGCTATTAAGTGCAAATTTTATGGCTTTAAATATTCTTTAGCATTAATTTCTGACTGATAATCCAGTTTGCGATGATAACGATAAGCAAGGAGCTAATTTGAGAGATATATATATTGTTGCACATTCTCGGGCTCTTCAAAGTCGAATATTCACAAGTATCTCGTAATATAAGAGGGTAATAAAACAACAATGGGTAAAGGCCGGTTTGACCCGAGAGTCCGGCCGAGGCTACAAATAATTAGAGTGCGTACACATAAAAGTCCGGCGAGTACCCGAGTTTTATATGTACAAACTCGCACAATGCAGGAGCTGAATTGTTTCGTCCGCAGCTCGCGAGCGTAGGAATTCCGGTCTCTTGAGTCGGTGGCGATCTTAAAGCGAGCAGCCAACATAATCAATGGATCATTGAACGCCGCTTACACACGTTGTATATAGATCAGTAGTGGTAATAGTTTATAGCTAGCTTATACAGAGTCACAGTAAGTATAAGAGAGAGAAATGGAGCTCGGGTCAGATTGGCACTCGGACTTATATATAGAGCCGGACGGACAGTACTTACGACGTGTCAGCACGTAAACGGCAAACGGCCTGCCTCGCTCACGTGCCGCACGCACACTGCCGCTTTATATGTGCACGTATATATGTGCAAATCTTCCGGACGACCTTCCGTGCAACGCGCGGGCAGAAGACCCCGAGCCAAAGTCTATGTGTGTGTGTCTATACGTTCGTGTAGGTCCGCGTGTTCATGTTGGCCGTTGGCCGGCTATATCCGAGCTGCCTCCGAGCATCGGCTCTCGTCACGCTCTTCTTGTCATTGACCTTGCGCACCTCGACCAGCTCCACCTTGTGCAAGTCCAACTGCAAGTGTGTGCGTGAGTGTGTGCCGGCCCCAAAGTCGCTCGCTCGACATCGCACTTTACCTATACATGTATCGTAGCACCCAAATATAAACATACGCTTGCCTCGGCGTATGTATCCGAAAGCGGACAATCGCCCTGAAACGTTTCGCTCGGATCGTTGCAGCTCACCCGCGCGATAGCCCCGATCTTCGTCGCGCTCCGCTGGCCATGATATCCACGCATCGTGGCAAATGCATTCGGCTATATAAGAGAGTGGCCATTAAGCTAATGCTTCTACAGTTGAATTGTCCTATATATAACGATTAAAGCTCATACGAGAATTCAAGGAGCTGACAAGCTCGAATCTATGTGCCTATAAGCGAGAATCCTGCTGCTGCTGCAATTCAAATCCACATCGAGGTATATTGGCCAAGTGCAAAACGGGCAGAGTTACTGTACAGAGCGGAGGGCCTGCGGCTGCCCTCTGTCGGACTGCGAGGCAATCCTATCGTCGACATATATAGGGCTTTGATATTACGTACTCGTATTCGCCAGAGCACTCGATCTTCGCTGCATTGTTCGTCACCACTCGATGCCCGAGAAAAATCAATCGATCCGTTCGCTGATGTCTCGGTGATTCGATGGATTCCGCGACTTCTTTTTTGTTTCGACCGAGTGAAAAAAAAACAAGAAAATTTCCCTCGCATGGCTTATTATTATGCATTAATAGTCGCTGTAGCTAGTTAGGCCTTCGCTTCGATGTAATTGGACTTGCGCGGCTGCGCTCAGACTCGTCTGCGGATCGTTACTGTCATTAGACGCATCGATATATTCTGCATTTTCTACGGCTAGATGCCTCGAAAGAGAACGTCGAAGCAAGCAAAATCAACAAATGATATAATTTCCTCGCTGTCGCAGAAACGAAGAATATTCCTAAATTGGATAATACGATTGACCTTACGGTCTCGAGCCGTTAGCTTAACTCGTAAAAATCACGAGTTTCTTGGAACGCTTAAGTAGCGTCATTTTGTTGGTAGCAGTCGTGAATAGGATAGACGCACGTAACGCCGTAAGATTTTCCAGCCGAAAGAATTACTCATTCTTTGGTGAAATCGAGAATAATCAGCAGCTCTGCAACATGACGGCGTGCGTACGCTGCAAAATATAATAATAATCGATCGCAATCGAAGCGTCGATTATTCACACGCCGCACACACACAAATTTGAATAACGTTTAACCTTTTTTTTCGCACAGCGTTGTTCCGTTGTTTTTGTTTTTTTTGGGTTAAGTTTGTTGCGTGAATGCAATCTGCAGACGGGGAGCGTCGGGTCGAGACTCTATATACTCTCTCCTTTCCTCGAGCCTGAAAGTCGCAATTATTTTTAATTCAGGGGGTAGAGGTTACTTGCAACACAAAGAGAGACGATGGCCCAAGAGCGAGCACAGATATAGCGTTAAACATCGTTTGTTCATACACGTATACAATACGTTTTCGATGCGTAACGTGTATTATATATATGATGTCGCATCGCTCGACGACTCTTTATGTATGTGCTGGTGCAAAGGTGCTGCACTGCACATGCGTAGGTGGCAGTCGTCGATGCGACGACGACGACGACTGTTATTAGCCGAGCTCATTGTTTCATTGTTATATCGTCGTCGTCGTCGTCGTCGTCGTTGGGCTTCTGTGCGGTCGAGCCGCGAGTCGAGCAGTGCAGGCACGGGGCGTTATGCAAGCTTTATTCATTTTATTTTATATTTTTTTCATTTTCATTCGCCATTGTCGAGGCGCGAGGCTCACGGAGCCGTTGTTGCGGAGCGCTATACCACACTTTACGTGCCTACGAGGATAATTGCGAGCTCTCCTCTCCGCGAGTCGAGTAAATGAAAAGAAAATTAGCTAGGCCAGAGTTTATGTGGTTGTGTATATGTACGAGCGCTGGAGCAAAATAAAAGGCCGATTAAGTTGTTATACATTTATCAGTATCTAGTCTACTGAATATGAACCGAGGGCTGGGCACGTCTGCCATTGTTTATGATCTTCGTTTCATCGAGCCTTAAACTCGTGATATTTAAACGTGGGGCACTTCAACAAACATCGGTGTGTTTTTCGATGGTTTTCAATTAGCGAAGAGCATGTGAGCAGCTCCAGTTCATAAATCAGCGAGCGAGTGCTCGCATACATCGAGGGAAAATTAATCGACCGACCCATTCAATTGTTCAAGAAAGGCCAAAATAATGTAACGAGTATTCAGTTGGTCTATAAACGTGCTCGGCTATACATACGAGCCAATGATACACATACAAAGTACAACACACATAGACACACGAACACACAGGTGGTAAACCGAGCAATCCCCTTTCGGAAAATCAATCGAGCTGCTCGCATCGGCGGGGGGCCACGAGAAGCAGGAGAGAGAGAAAGAGAACTCGGAAACTCGGGGATCGGATAGATTTTCGCGGTGGCGCACGGCACGCGCCGCCTCCATCCACCCGACACGCGTTATACACATTATATACCTATATCGTGCTCGGATCTATAATGCACGCGACTGGCTTGCTAGAAGATAGGTAAACCCAAAAGTTTCGACGTCGGCCGTCGTCTCTCGAGGATTAGAGCTCCGAAGCTACGTAAATCAGCTACGTAGTAACGATTCTCGATCTATCTAATGGGCTCAATATGCCGCGCAGTCCGGACCTAATCGTCGTCGAGGCTACCTCGCGCCAACTGACCATTTTCATCTGTCGGCCTATCATTAATCAAACTGCGCGCGCCTACCTATAAGATCGCTGCGGAGCGCATTAAAAATTAAACGCGTCGACTGTTGGCTGTGTAACATACGTATAGGCATTATAATAAATGCGATAATGAATTTATGATGGGCGTTGACCAACTGTCCCCGCGACTGTCCACTCGAGCTGCCTCAATTACGGATGATCTCGACTGAAAGCTGCGATAAAGTACTCTGCCAACGAGGGATAACGCAATTAATTCGGCTGCTGCTGCTGTCGTACGTCCACAGCTCGCATGCGAGGCGCTCAGTATAAACGAGTCGATCGCCGAGCGACCGATCGAGGTAAAGTATCGATATCGCACACCGATGGCCTTCGCTGCGACTGAAATAAAATCGCGCCAAAGATGACGACGTCGAGGCTCGTGTGCTCGCTGCGTAATCGCAGAATATTTCGCTATAATCAGAATGTCAGCTCGCTCCGTACGAGTCGAATTTTCGATCGTCGAGCTCCGGTATTATACACATTAGGCGCGCCTGCATAAACATATTTATTATACGTGTATATATTATAATGTGGCTGTACGCGGATGAAAAAAGGTACAAGGCAGTCAGGCAAAAAGGCAACGCGCAGCATCTCTTTGAGCGAGCAAATGTCGAGCGCTCAAAGTCGTATCGAGAGGCAGCTCTAAAGCCGATAATTAGCCGGCTTGCAATCGGGGGGAGAGGAGCATTACTACATTGTTATTATAATGAGTCAAGCTGAAGAGAGAAAGAGAGAGAACTAATGGAAGCAGCAGCAGCAGTCGAAGCATCGATACTCGTGATCGGACGCAATTACCCTGCCGCGCGCTAACTCTCTTTCTGTAATAATTTTCATGCTCGCTGTTTATATATATACGTGCGGCGGCTATACAATATGTATACACGCCAGGCTTCGGAGAAATTATCGAAATTATGAGCAGGGAGAGAATAAGAGAGAGAGAGAGAGAGAGAAAGAGAATTGGTAGTCTAGGCTCGAGGAATGATTGACAGCTGAGCCTCCGCAGCTACTTTGGACTCTCTCTCTCTTGCTTGCTCGAGTCGGGCAGACGCCGCCGCAGCTCGATGCGAGTAAGAAGCCTCGACGGCGGCCGCAGAACCGCAAAACAAAAAAATTAGCTGAATTACCACGAGAAGAACAAGACGGACGGAGCGAGGCAGAGGAGTCGGGGAGAGATAGAGGGAGGCTCGAGACGGCGAAAACTGGGAGAAAAAGTGCAGATTTAGCAAGAAAGCACTCACACATGCGGCCGCGCGAGCGAGATTTCCAACGAGTTTGTAAATAGTAGATCTTCCAGCACCTATATTATATTCAAAGCTTTGGGCGCGATAATTTTTAATATGCGCGCCAACGAAAATTGTATCGACGAAACGATCGGCGCGTCAAGAGAGATCTTGGCCAATGTAGAGCGCGACTCCAGTATAGGCGCACACACATAATATAATGATACGCAATATAAAATGACTCGAGGAGACAGTCGTTCCTAGAAAACTCGCTGCTATGTTTAATAATGACAATCATAATAATATGTCCTATACGTCTAATGGTAATGGCTGCAATAATAGCAATAATGGCAATAATAATAACGAGCGTACGTTCCGACGGCTCTATAACGACCTTCTTACGTATAACAGCAGCCAGTGCACAAATATCTAGTTTGCAAACACATACTACCGCGTAGTTAGGACAATCTCGGCTTTGGCAATAATCTTCCTGCGAACTCATAAGTCGCCTCGACCTGTGCTGCATAGCATCGACGATCTGCGAACTGTACGAAATTAAGCACGCTATGACGTCGGTTTACAATGACATTAATTTTGTCTATACGTCGTTGGAAAAATGAAGCTTTTACGTAAAGACTACGAGGTGACTATAAAATTTGTGTTGAACATTGATTATCTGCAACCACGTTCAGCTCATGGAGGATTGGTGACGACGCTTGACGATGGATACACATTCATTCATTATCAGAGAGTTTGAGACCATCGCTGTTGAGATCAGAGCCTCATGAAACATTCATTTACATAGAAATTCTAAAGTTTTCGTTTACTGTATTATATCTATATCGGTGACCTGCGATTGACCGTCGACGATTCGCTGTACTTTCTTGCGATCCGTGCTCGCTCGTTCGC